CGGCCTGGCTGAGCCCCTGAGACCCCCTGTGTCAGCTGATACCCACCCCGGCCTGGCTGAGCCCCTGAGACCCCCTGTGTCAGCTGATACCCACCGTGGCCTGGCCGCAACTGTGGCTGACACTTGCCTGGGGGTCCTGAGGCCCCGAGTGGGGGCTGCTAGACTGTACCTGTGAGCTGCAGGATTTGGTCCTCAATGTGGGTCACTGCCTCGTCATGCATGACCTGGCCTCCCAGGACGAACTCCAGGCGGCCCTGGTTCAAGAGCTGGTGGACCTGAGTATGTCAGGAGGAGAGGGCAGGGTCAGCTCCAGCCGGGGTGCTGCAGCCCCATGGGGCCTGCCCCGCAATGTCCTCTCTCAGGCTGTGCTCTGCTCACCCTGGTGGTCAGCTGGGGCACCTGGCCACAGCAGCTCCTGACACTCCACTGCATGTATTTAAGGCTAAAATGTCACGTTTAAGGTGGATTTAAGCTTAGAGAAAGTTTGCCAGAGAAGGACAAGGGGCAGCCCTGCAGCCTTTGCCGAGACTCCCTGATATTAACATTTCGCCCGTTTCTGTCAGGAGTGGGCTCGAGTGTGTCAGGGATGATAAGGATGGCACAGGGCGGGACAGGGGTCAGGCCAGCTGCCCACAGGGTCGCTGAGAGTCACACTCGGTTTACCAGCACCTCACAATAGCCTGCTTTTCCTACGACAGTAACCAGGGTTGTGCCTCAGCACCCTAAGCGGGCACCAGGGCCGCCGTCCAGTATCCTAAAGTCAGGAAACGGCACAGAGGCCTAGCCGCCGACGCGACGCTGACCTCGCCTACGGCCTCCGTCCCTTTTCTGAGCAGGACGCGCCCCAAGGCCACCCGGTGTCGGGAAGCTATGTTGCTCTTCTACATCACTGGCCCCGGGGCAGCTCCTTCACCTGTTTCTTTTACAATGAACCGTTCCAGCTGGTGGTTTTGTAGAATGCCCTTCATTTGGGTTTATCTCATGATCGGATGATTTAGCTTGTGAGCTCGTCATGGAGGAGGCGGCTGGGTGATGGCTAAAGAACGTGGGAGGCAGGAGGCCTTTACGCCCCTCAGAGACAATCTGGGGTTTGTTTCTAGAAGGTTCATCACCTAGAGTTCATTCACTCAAACTGTATTCAGTGAGGACCTATTTTGTGCAGGAACTTCTGAGGGTGGAGGAAGCAAAGGACAGAATCTCTGCATTCATGGGCGGTCCAGGTCTTACCGCCATTCTCATTACCACCTTCCCTGTCACTGCTGTCATCATCACCACCATCAGGACCACCACCACCACTACCACTACTGTCTCCATCATCATCATCACCACCATCACCACCATCAGGACCACTACCACCAGCATCATCATCATCTTCACCACCACCACTACAATCATTACCATCCCACTACCACTATCAACACCACCACCGTCAGCAAGCACCACCATCACCACCAACACTACTACTATCTCCATCATCACCATCACCACCACCACCATCAGGACCACTACCACCACCATCATCATCTTCACCACCACCACCATCAGCACCACCACTACCACTACTAACTCCATCATCATCATCCCATCACCACCATCATCATCATCTTCACCACCACCACTACAATCATTACCATCCCACTACCACTATCAGCACCACTGCCATCACCACCACCACCACCATCATCTCACGCCCATTGGCACCATCACCATCAGCACTGCCGTCATATCAGCACCTCTACTATCATTGTTGTCATCACTATAACCATCATCATCTCCGTCCTCCTCACCTCCAGTCAACTAGGCCTCCTAGGGAAGGACGAGTGGGGGATAGACAGACAGTTGGGCTGAGAGGCTAAAAATCAGACTGGAGACCATGCCCTGTCCCTCTCCTCCCAGGAGCTGTGGGTGGGTTTGGGTCACCAGAGTTGCCTGACCCTTGGGTTAGCAGAGCAAGTCCCTAGAGACCATGCTACCAGAGTTCCTTGTTGGCCTTGGTAGTGCCCACTGGACACCGCTAGAGAGAGAGGTTAGGAGTCCTCCTCTTTGTGAGTTGTGTGATCACAGTCATCCACCACCTGTCCTCTCTGAGCTGCGTCTTCTCTAAAGCGGGGCCCCAGTGGGGCTTCAGGAAGGGACGGGGGCAGGGAGAGGCAGGCAGGGTCAGAGGACAGGGAGGGGCAAGCAGCAGGAAGGGTCGGGGGTGGTGTGTGAGAGGTACTGGACAGCACCTGTTTGCTCACCCGACACTGACCTCCTCCTCCTGCCTACCTTCTCGGCTGTAACGGGAGCAGGTCCACCTCTCCACGTGCTACCTCCAGGGCCTGGGCTGGCACCGGGGTGATGGGGAGGGGACACTGTGCTGTGCTGAGTGTCCACACTGGGCTCTGTCCTTGCTGCAGCCTGCCTCGTGGTGGTGCCTCCTCACATCAAGGGTCTGAGCCATGGGGAGGGCTGAGTAGGAAGAGTCTGGTTGCCTCTCCAGGCAGGGGGACAAAGAAGGCAGGGACACAGGGGCATATGGCCCAGGAACTGTCCCCTCTCCTGGTTCACCAGGCCCACGCCCACAGGGACAGACAGAGGTGGCCACCACTCAGTGAAAGAGGCCGGAGCAGTGATATCTTGAGAAGAGCCAGGATTCAAGAGTCTGTCTCGGGCACGGGGCTGGCCCAGACCTGCTCTCTCCTGCTCTGAGCTCCTGGGCCCCGGGCACGGCATCTGAGCAGCCTTGTGGGTCCCCCAGCGGTCACCTGGTGTTTCTGCTCCTCAGAGGCCACGTCCCTCCACCACAGCCGGAAGAACTCCTGCTCCACTGCAATGAAGCGTCGCTGCGGCCGGCAGGTCAGCTCCTCCACCACGGACGTGTACACGTTGGCCGCGTATGCCTGCATGCTCTCCTGCGATGGGCACACCAGCCCTGAGGGCCAGCCTGGGACAGACCAGCCCTGAGGGACAGCCTGGGACAGAGCAGCCCTGAGGGACAGCCTGGGACAGAGCAGCCCTGAGGGACAGCCTGGGACAGCCTGGGATGCCTCACGCCTGAGGGACAGCCTGGGACAGAGCAGCCCTGAGGGCCAGCCTGGGACAGAGCAGCCCTGAGGGACAGCCTGGGACAGCCTGGGACAGAGCAGCCCTGAGGGCCAGCCTGGGACAGACCAGCCCTGAGGGCCAGCCTGGGACAGAGCAGCCCTGAGGGACAGCCTGGGGCAGCCTGGGACAGAGCAGCCCCGAGGGACAGCCTGGGACAGACCAGCCCTGAGGGGCAGCCTGGGACAGACCAGCGCTGAGGACAGCCTGGGACAGACCAGCGCTGAGGACAGCCCTGGACAGGCCTCACGCTGGGGCTGTCCTCCCAGGGGACAGAGTGGAGCACTCCTGGGATGGCCACACCAGCTCTGAGGGGCTCCGGATAAGATGGAGGTGGCAGCAGAGCACAGAGGGGGTCCTGAGGGAGGACAGCTTCGGGGGGTGTACAGACTGGGCCCCGTAGTAGGAATCGGGTGGCAAAGGCAATCCCAGGGGTCAGTGGGTGTGGTCCGGTGATCAGAGGGGTCACTCCTGTCCCCAAGGCCATGGCTTTCCCACTCCCAGTCTCAGGCCCGTGACACCAGGGTCCAGGGCCAGATAGGGCAGGCTATACGGGTCATTCCCAAGTGTCCTGGACAGGGAGCTGCCCTCTGGGGCCACTTCCTCTCCCCTCAGCATTAGCATTGACGTGGTCCACTACCTAGTCCACAGATGGGACAAGCAGAGAGGCACGCTCCCCACCCCTCAGTGCCCCCTCCCCAGTGGGCAGCCCACGGCCAGGTGGCCCAGGGCTGGAGTTGACATTCGGCACCAAGCCTCCCCGTGGGTTTCCCTCTCCCTAGTTAAGTCACTGGTCACCCCAGGACAGAGCCCTCCGAGGCCTGGGAGGCAGAGCCCCGCTTTCCACACTGCTGTCATCAACTGTTCAGAGGTGCTCCCGGGAGGGAGGGGGACCCCAGGAAATCTCCGGAGCAGGGTTCCAGAGAGGGGCCTGGCGCCGACGGAGGCACATCCCACAGGGAGAGAGCAGGCCTGTGGACCTCTGGAGGACAGCATGGTGGAGGGCCAGCACGCACCGGGAGGGTCCATGGCTCCAGAAGCCAGGGGCCCGACAGCAGGTGTACTGGCCTGACTGTCCAGGTGGGGACCTGGGGCTCAGAGCAGGGCTTCTGGCCAAGGTGACCTCAGACCCAACTCCAGAACCTATCCCAGGGCCGCTGGCTGAACTGGCCTCCCAGCACCTGACCCGAGGGGGGCATCCCTGACCCCCACCTTACCTGAGAGCACATCCCTGACCCCCACCTGACCCGAGGGTGACATCATTTGACCTCTGCCTGACCTGTGACATCATGACCCCCACTTAAGCTGAGAGTGACATCCTCGACCCCTGCCTGACCTGAGGGTGACATCATCTGACCCCACTTGACCTGAGGGTGACCTCCCTAACCCCAGCCTGACCTGAACATGACATCACTTGACCCCACTTGACCTGAGGGTGATCTGCCTGACCTGACCAGCCCCACAACAGCTCCTCCAAGTTTCCGGGGAGCAGCCCCCCACCATCACCCGCACTGGCTCTCGCTCCCTCCTAGGACACAAGGCATTTGCATCAAAACACCACCTGCAGAAAGGGACACCGAGGCCCCCGAGGGCTGACCGCAGGGCCCCCAGACCAGGCCGGGTCACACTGGGGGGGGGGTGCTGCTCTTTCAGGGCCCCTGCCGGGGAAACTGAGGCTCGGGTGGCCCGAGGTCGGCCTTCGGCCTGGCGTGGCCTCTTTCCAGGGTCATCGGCCAGGGGTCCTCGGGCGAGGGTGGCCGCGGCGGGGGGCGCGGGGCCTACCTGGACCGTGTACACCCAGCCCACGTCCATGTGGCTGTGCGGTACCACGAAGGCCCGCACGGGACCCACGGGCCGGACCCCCGGCGGCCGCAGCAGGACCAGCAAGGCCAGCAGCCAGCAGATGGGCCCCATGGCCGCCCAGACCGCGGGACTTCCGGGTCCACGCGCGGTCAGCGGGGACAGGGACCCGGCTCCGCCCCCGGGAGGCAGAGAGGACTGGACACCGCCCCCGGGAGGAGTGGACTCCGCCCCCAGGAGGACTGGGCTCCGCCCCTGCAAGGACCAGACTCCGCCCCCGGGAGGCCGAGGGCACCGGGCTCCGCCCCCAGGAGGGCGGCTGGACACCGCCCCCAGGAGGAGTGGGCTCCGGCCCTGGGAGGCCGAGGTGACAGGACACCGCCCCCAGAAGGAGTGGACTCCGCCCCTGGGAGGCCGAGGGGACTGGGTACCGCCCCCAGAAGGAGTGGACTCCGCCCCCGGGAAGGCAGCCGGACACCGCCCCCAGAAGGAGTGGACTCCGCCCCCGGGAAGGCAGCCGGACACCGCCCCCAGAAGGAGTGGACTCCGCCCCTGGAAGGCCGAGGGGACTGGGCTCCACCCCCAGGAGGAGTGGACTTCGCCCCCGGGAAGGCCGCCGGACACCGCCCCCAGAAGGAGTGGGCTCCGCCCCCGGGAGGCCGAGAGGACTGGACACTGCCCCCGGGAGGACTGGGCTCCCCTCTCGGGAGGCCGAGGGCACAAGACACCAGCCCGAGGAGGACTGGACACGGCCTCTGGGAGGCCGAGGGCACCGGGCTCCGGCCTAGGGAGGCCGAGGGGACTGGACACCGCCCCCAGGAGGAGTGGACTCCGCCCCTGGAAGGGCCGGACTCCGTCCCCGGAAGGCCGAGGGGACTGGGCAGCGCTCTGGGGGCGGGTAAGGGTCCGGGCTCCGCCCCAGGGAGGCCGAGGACGGCTGGACATAGTCCCCAGAGCTCTGGCTACTCCCCATCTCAGTTTTCTGGAGCTGAGGTCCAAATGCGTCCTCTTCCGGGAAGCCTGTCAGGTTTTCTCCAGCGGGCACCTGCCTCTCGTGCTGTCCGCGTGTCCTCGCCGTGCCTTCGTCCACCACCTCGAGGGGGGCCTGGGCTTGTGGGGGGAACACCGGATCAGGTGGTCCGGTGTCTGGCCCTGGCCCCTGGGTGAGTGAGTTTGAGGCAGTGTTCCCCCGCTTCAGCCCAGCTCACTGAGCAGGGTCCTTCCTCACTGCACGTGGTAAGCTGGTGGGTCTCCCTAGTGCTCATCTAAGAGGTCGAGATACCCCCCCCCATAAATGCTGGCCTGGCCCAAGGTTGGGATACCCCCCCATAAATGCTGGCCTGACACAGGCTGGGAGAGCCCAGAGGGGAGGAGGCTCTGAGCCTCAGGACTGTGGCCCTTTCCTCACCCTCTGATGGAGGTGGACCAAGGGGCGGAGACGTGAGGTCGCCCAGTACACTAGGGACTACACCCCTTGAGGGACTCTCTGGGACTGGTTTGACTTAATTTTGTCTTAGATGCGAGGTCACTTCCAGGTTAAATTTTCAGCAGATGAATGAATCCATTGTGCACTGGATAAGGTCCCTCTGAAGGCTGTATTGAAGTCCTACACATGAACCTATAAACCCGGCGGTGTTCAGAAGGACAGAGTTCCTTGTTATGTCAACACGGTTATGATACATTGCCTTAGATTGGCTTGTGTGAGTAAGGGGACGGCATGCAAGCTGACGCACACCTTGTCCAGTTCAAGCCGCATGGCGTCCCCTCACTGCAGCTGAAGGACTTGCCCTTAGGGTCTGGACAGGCTCTGGGTGAGCACAGCTACAAGCTCTCTGGCTGTAACCTTCGTAATGTTATCCCTATTTTGTTAGGATCCACAGGGTTGTTAAACACAAGTTAGTGTCTTTCTGGCACTTGCTACTTTTTGATCAGTGTTGATATTTCTTTTTCCCTCTTGGTACCAGCAGTCAGGAAATCAAAAAGCGTATCGCGATGGGAAAGTCTGCCGTTAGGGACCTCTCAAACGTACTCAGGAACAACAGTGTCTCTCTGGAGACTAAGGTGCGCCTGATACAGGTCATGGTATTTGCAATCGCTTGTTATGCATCAGAGAGTTGGACAATGACTAGGGAGGACAGAAGGAGAGTGGATGCCTTTGAGCTGTGGTGCTGGAGAAGGGTACTGAATGTACCATGGACTGCCGTGAAGACAAACAGATTCATCCTGGAGAGGGTTAAACCAGGCTACTCCTTGGAGGCAAGGATTCTGGGACTTCGTCTGACATACTTTGGACATGTTGCCAGGAGGGATGGGTCCTTGGAGAGGGACATCATGCTTGGGAGGGTGGAGGAACAGCGCAGGAGGGGAAGACCCTCTATGAGATGGATTGATTCGGTGACTGGGGTAATCGCGATGGGTGTGTCAGAGGCGGTGCGGTTGGCGCAGGATAGAGCAGGGTTTAGAGCTGTTGTGCATAGGGTCGCTATGAGTCGGAAATGACTCGATGGCACATAACAACAACAACTTCTGAATTCAGCTTGACTAGCAAGTACTCTATTGATATAGTGCTATATTTGTGTTTGAATTATCTTCAGAAAAATTTGGCCACATTATATTATTTAATAATTTCTACATCCTGAGAGGCTTGACTATAATAGAAAAGAATCAGGATTGGACGAAAACCCATGAGCAACTGACATGCAGATGACACAACCTGATTTGCTGAAATGAATAAGACTTCAAGTAATCACTGACGGAGGTCCAGGACCTTCAGTACGGGTTGCTCTTCAACTTGGAGAAAACAAAAATCCTCCAAGTGGACTGGTGAACTACTGTGATAAATGACAGAAGACTTTGCAGCTGTCAGCAGTTCCCTTCCCCACAGACCCACAGTGAATGTCCTTGGAAAGAGAGCCATGAAGTCACACAAGACAGCGCCCCGGGCACGGGCACTTCACACGAGATAGCGCCCCGGGCAAGGGGAACTTCACACGAGACAGCGCCCCGGGCATGAGCACTTCACATGAGACAGCGCCCTGGGCACAGGTGCTGCACATGAGATGCCGTCCCGGGCACGGGCACAGGTGCTGTACATGAGACGCCACCCTGGGACATCAGACTGCAAAACACTTTTTTTTTAAATAAAATTTTTATTTTGTGCTGGTTTACTTACAAAGTTTGTATACATTGTTTTTCATACTGGGTCTTTCCTATTTCCTTTACCCATCCCTCCTTCCAACCATCAAATTATGCGACCCTGTGATTACCTCTCCATCTCCTCATCCCTCTGCTCCACCCTCCCCCAAAAACACTTTTTAAGTGTTAAAAATCAAAGCTGTTACTTTGATGTCTATGGTGTGTCTGACCAAAGCCAGGATGGTGTTTTTTTTTATTTGCATGTGAGAGCTGGACACTGAGAAAGGAGGACAGAAAAGCGCAGGGGCCTTTGGATGGTGGCATTGGCCAAACCCACTGGACTTCTGTGAACCTCCAGGCGTGAGGAGGCCTGTTGAGGAAATGCCAAAGGGAAGCTGGCGAGCCTGCTTCTGACCTGTCACCAGGAGGGAGCCCACACAGATGAGGACATCGTGATGGTAAAGTGGAGGACCTGGGAGTGGATGGACGAGGCTAGACAGTAGGCCAAGAGCAGTGGTCATGGGGATGGCCCCGGTCCAGTCCACACGCTTCATTCTGTCCCACGCAGGGTTACCTCATACATGAACTGACCTGACTCGTCTGTGGGACATGAGGTCCCTTTTGCACAGGGTGGGGTCCTGAAGCACCCCCTGGCCTGGGCCGTCCACCTGATCATTGCTGTGGAAGCCCATAACTGCAGCCACGGTCTCTGTCCATCTCCTCAAGGGTCTTCCTCTCTCACTGGCCCTCTGCTTCACCAAGCATCGTGTCCTTTTCCAGTGACTTGTCCCTCCTGATCACATGTCCAGAGTGTGTGACGTGGCACATGGCACAGCTGGAGGAGCACGCTGTGCTCTGCATCCGTCCTGTAACAGGACAGGGTGGACGCAGACACAGGGAGAAGTGGTAGGAGCTCTCAGGTGGCCCGACGGGCCAGGACTGTCTCCCAGGGCATACTCTGACTCAAAGGTATTGGTTTTTCTCCTGTCATACTTAGTCACTGTCCACCTTATGGACACACATCAAGCAATCGAGATGGCATGGCCTGAGCACCTTCGTCTTAGAGCTCGATCATTGCTCCTCAGTCCTCTGGAGAGGTCCTGACAGCAGACTTCCCACTGAGACCTTTTGATTTCTTGACTGCAGGTAGCAAGGGTTTTGGTTGTGGATCCAAGCAAGATGAAACGGTTGACAGCTTTAATCTCTTGTCCATCAGGATTGGAGGAAGACTAATGCACAACCTGTATTATGCAGATGACACGACCTTGCTCGTCAAGAGGACTTGAAGTGCAGGCTGCAGAAGATCAGTGACTATAGCCTTCAGTATGAATTTCTCAAGAAAGCAAAGGCACTTCTGCTGGGCCGCAGCTGGCTGCACGTCTGGCTTGTTATGTGCTGGTGATTGGAGCTACTGGGGAAGAATGCCCATCTTTCTCCTGAGGAGCGACGGGTGGATTCAAACCAAGTGCCTTTGGGCTGGTAATGCATCTTGTTACCATTAAGCCACCAGAGCTCCTTGTTGCTGTTATGTTGAGTCATCTGTGACTCATAGCGACCCTGTGCACAATAGCTCTGAACCCTGCCCTATCCTGAGCCAATGTCATCATCTTCGACACATCTACCCTCATTGCCCCAGTTACTGTGTCAATTCATCTCATCTGAGGTCTTCCTTTCCTGCACTGTCCTTCAATCCTTCCAAGCATGGTGTCCTTCTCCAAGGACTGGCCCCTCCTCACAACATGCCCAAAGTATGTGAGATGAAGCTTCAAAATCCTTGCCTCCAAGGAGCAGCTTGGTTTCACCCTCTTTAGGATAGAGCTATTTATTCTCTTGGCAGTCCACGGTATGCTCAATACTCTTCTCCAGCACTATGACTCAAAGGCATCAATTCTTCTGCCATTCTTATTCACAGTCCAGCTCTCCGATGCATAGCAAGTAAGTGCTAAGACCATGGTCTGGATCCGGCACACCTTAGTCTT